CCTTAGCTGGTTTGGCTCAGTGGATAGAGTGTCGCCCTGTGTACTGAAGGGTCCAAGGTTTGATTCCAGTCAAGGGCACATGACTGGGTTGCGGGCTTGGTCCCCAGTCGGGGGTGTGCAGGAGACAGCTGGTCAATGATTCACTCTCATCATTGATGTTTCTATTTCTCTCTCCCTTCCTCTCTGAAATCAATAAAAATATATTTTTAAAAAATTAGTAAGCTCTAAAATGTCTAAGATATATTTACTTTCTGCAATTCTATATTTGAAGGAGTTAAAAGTTATTGCTCAGTAATGATAGATTTTTCTCTGAAACACCTGTGTACTTTTTCCCATTTGTCCTTTGTGATCAGTGACACATTTGATAAGTGATCTAAGTCATTCATATAATCCATGATTTTAAAATGTAATATTTTTGTTCAAATTAACCAGGGATCTAAGATAGTATCTTGATGTTATTAATATGGTACTTGAACCATCTTAGCTCTTCTTGACCAACTGGCTACCCTCATCACTCAACACTCACCCTTTTTTTCCCTATCGCGATGACGAGAGACGTCCCAAACTCATGTTCACAAACTAAGCTGTCACAGGGAACCCTCACCATCGTCCAGAACAATGATGAATCATATGGCAGTTAGCAGTCCACCGAGGACAAGATCCAGAGCAATGTATTCTGTAGCTCTGCATGTCTCCATCTATGCGTTTTTCAGCCATTTCACAAGGGCCAATAACGCGACCAAGGAGTACTGAGTCCTAGGAGAGCTGACTTGAAAGACAGTGATGAGAGAAACAGAATCTAGAGGTCCAGTCCTCACTTGGGTATTCCTCTTCAGAAGGGGCAAATGCCTGCCGCCTTCTACTTTCCCTGAAACACACCCTCCAGAGACCGTATCCGTGCTTAAGATACCTGTGGTGGTAAAAGTTACATATGTTTGAGTAATTAGGAGGTATATGTTTTCCTGAAAACCTAGTACAGAATTCCATGCGTCCTCTTCAGGAGCACTCCTCTGTTCAATGACTTTCTCAACATGATTAAAAAGCACCAATGAGTGGGGCAGATTTAGTTTTTCTGGACTCGCCTCCCTGTCTAGCATTTTCTCCTACAAACCAATAAAGCAATTGCTGTGAAACCAATTGTTGGTTTATTAGGGGCTTTTGCTTTATTTTTCTCAGTCCTTTAGGGTTCTTTAAATGTAGCCTTGGGGATAGGTCTTACTTATACTGGCTACTTTCCCTATGGTTATTATCATGGAATATAAATTTACAGACACTGGGTAGCACAGGATTATGGGAGAAGGGAGGGTTTCTGCCCATCCCTGGGCAACATCCCCTGTGGACCCTCCCACCCTTGGGTACAGCAGGTAAACCAATCCATAGAGTAGATACATATTCACAAATATGTCAAATGCTGAAGAATGAAAACAAATTCACAAGGCCAATCTATTGCAAAACAGATACATTTAAGTACAAATATTTTTACATTGTAGTTCAACCAATGTTCTACCCTCTGAACCATGATGGTCTCAGAGGACCTCCAGTACATTGTTACTGATCAGCAATTGCCAAATATTTGACTACCAGTAAAAATAGCTCTGAGCTCAACCTATGAATGATACCCAGGTCAAAGCAGAAGTGCTTTCAAACATCACATTATTGTTTTGTCATTGTTCCCAAACCTAGGCTGTAGCCAGGGAACAAAAATCAGCCTTTGTTTGTGGCTTAATTACTTTTCTATCACAGCCATAGATTCCCCAGTAAGAATAGCAACCCTGACTAAAGCAAATCCCAGTATTACCATTCTGGAAAGAAGCAGTCGAATGTGGGTGACTACAGAAGCCAGCATCACTTGCCAGGGAAAATTATGGTGTGGTGTCATGGGATTTCCAACAAAGATAAGTTTGGTTCCCTCCTGACACAGAGGGTTTGATGTGATTTGTCAAATATTTATTAAATTTTATCACTGTTCTTCATTTTCTCTTCCTACATCAAGCCATGTCTCTCTGGGTTTTTTTCTCTTACCCTCCAAACCATCCTTCTATAATAGGACTTATCCACTGAAACAGATGCAATTAAAAACACATTCAAGAAATATACTTTTAGTTTTTGTGTTTGTATATATGCTTTCTTCTAGTTACTATTTTATTCCCTTGACATCAACCAAAGAAAAGTTATTTTGAGCAAGAAATTAATTTGATATTCATAAAACTTTGCAACCAGAAGGGCCTCAATTCTACATTTTATAAAGTAAACCCTGAGGACCAAAGAAGTTGAGAAACTCAGTTGGGTTGCACAAACCAGACTAATATCCAAACAGGTCCTTGAACTGTTCCTTTAAGTCCAACATTTTCCACAGTGTGCTACTTTAAACTATCTACAAGCATCCACTATCTACAACTGGTCGAAAAACATCAAGTGACATATCATGGGAGTAGTTCTTGGAAACTTACCTAAGCTTAAGCAAAATAAGTAAGTGGAAAATTTTTATTAGACATTAAATAGAATTGTTAGTTATAAACAGCATTGCTCATATATATAATATCAACCAGAGCCCTTAGTAATGGATTGGCTTTTATAAAACTAATTTAAAATATTCAAGAAGTCTTTCTTTCTTTGATAATCATCAGGGTATCAGAAACTATATGGAATAAACACTATTTTTTAAAATGTTCACACCAGTCCAGGTTAGGTTTTTTTCACCAAACTAATTAGAAAAAAACAAACAACTATTAGTTTCCCATAGTTCTCTAGATTTTTTAATTGCAGATGAAGGATTGACACAAAGAGGGATGATTACCTTCAACTGGTGGTTTGTCCATTGGCTTAATGGTTAAGTAACACCAGAATCTCATACTATAATGCTCGTGCCATAATTAACATCTAGGAACTGAGGCTGAAAAAGGAGTTTCTGTCTCCTGTCCTATTTCCAAGGCAGGACACATGGCCACTGAGTGGAGTGAAAGCCACAATCACTCCTAATATGTAACATCTTCTACTATTTTTTCTTAGTCAAATTATAGTTAAATTTTTGTGTCTTAAACATTTATATAACATGAATCTTTTGTGTCAGCAGCAAGTTCATTCTTGTCATAACTTCAGCACTCACTGGGTCCTAGAAATCAGGAAAGGATTCACGTATTTATAAAGATTTAAAAAATTAGCAACAAAAGAAGTTGAGAAACTCAGTTGGGTTGCACAAACCAGACTAATATCCAAACAGAGGTCCTTGAACTGTTCCTTTAAGTCCAACATTTTCCACAGTGTGCTACTTTAAACTATCTACAAGCACCCACTATCTACAACTGGTCGAAAAACATCAAGTGACATATCATGGGAGTAGTTCTTGGAAACTTACCTAAGCTTAAGCAAAATAAGTAAGTGGAAAATTTTTATTAGACGTTAAATAGAACTGTTAGTTATAAACAGCATTGCTCATATATATAATATCAACCAGAGCCCTTAGTAATGGATTGGCTTTTATAAAACTAATTTAAAATATTCAAGAAGTCTTTCTTTCTTTGATAATCATCAGGGTATCAGAAACTATATGGAATAAACACTATTTTTTAAAATGTTCACACCAGTCTAGGTTAGGTTTTTTTTACCAAACTAATTAGAAAAAAACAAACAAACAAACAACTATTAGTTTCCCATAGTTCTCTAGATTTTTTAATTGCAGATGAAGGATTGACACAAAGAGGGATGATTACCTTCAACTGGTGGTTTGTCCATTGGCTTAATGGTTAAGTAACACCAGAATCTCATACTATAATGCTCGTGCCATAATTAACATCTAGGAACTGAGGCTGAAAAAGGAGTTTCTGTCTCCTGTCCTATTTCCAAGGCAGGACACATGGCCACTGAGTGGAGTGAAAGCCACAATCACTCCTAATATGTAACATCTTCTACTATTTTTTCTTAGTCAAATTATAGTTAAATTTTTGTGTCTTAAACATTTATATAACATGAATCTTTTGTGTCAGCAGCAAGTTCATTCTTGTCATAACTTCAGCACTCACTGGGTCCTAGAAATCAGGAAAGGATTCACGTATTTATAAAGATTTAAAAAATTAGCAACAGTCTGGCTGGCATGGTTCAGTGATTGAGCATGGACCTGTGAACCTGGAAGTCACAGTTCAATTCCCAATCAGGACACATGTTTAGTTGTGGGCTCAATCCCCTGTATGGGGCATGCAAGAGGTGGCAGATCAATGATTCTCTCTCATCATTGATGTTTCTATATCTCTCTCCTTTCCCCTTCCTCTTTGAAATCAATAAAAAAAATATTTTTAAAAGAAAATTAACAACTAAAAGGATAAAATAAATATCTAATCTAATAAAAGAGAAACATGGTAATTAGCGTACGACCGCTACCCTTTTCATTGGCTAATCAGGGCGATATGCAAATTAACTGCCAACTAAGATGGC